CCCCCCTTTTTCACCTTATTTGCCCTCTTCTCTGGGCTACTGACTCTTCCTGCAGCCTTTCTACTGCTACTCCTTGGTTCCTTCTTACTGCTGTCTTTCAGCCACACTCCTGATCTTATGGTACGAAAAATCAACACCTAGCCTTCTCGGATGAGGGCGAAAAATCTCGGAGTTCCCGTGAGCAAGTTGTGCACGTTAAAGATCCCTACGTGGTCCATAATCGATAAGAGTAGGCTTCGGCCACCACTCGGGCAAAATTCAAAATTTCCTATCAACTGAAGATGTTTAAAGTGTATCCCGCACACTCATATGACCTTATGCAGTTGCGAGCGCCGTAAAAACAATTACACATAAAAAATAGAAAGAATAGAAAGACAGGAAGAGATGTAAACGAACTACCTGGAGCTAATCCCTTCACTCCTTCGCCCAGGCTACTTGGGGGCTGAGCTCAGGTCAGAGGAACGTCTGTACGTCATGTGTGTACCTACGTCATCAAAATGACCCCTGGCTAGCTCCTATACCTTCTGGACCTTGTGTCCATGCACATATTATGTGGGTGGTTGGAGGGCGCCCTGCTTGACAAGGTTCATGACCTTGTGACCCTTGTTAAAGAACACGTTCCAAAACAAGATGGGTCTAGGGTTTTTTTTTTTACAGCGTGAGTTTAGAGGAAGGTTTGTAGTTGTATCATAGGGATTTTGTGTTCACAGTCAAGCGCGCTCGCACACACACACACACACACACACACACACACACACACACACACACACACACACATACACACACACATACACACACACATTTCTACATTTAAAATACATATATTCCCATATATTTCAACTTCTCTTCTTACTCTTATTGTTCTACTTCACATGTGTTACGCCCCCATCGACGCAATTGAGATCATTAAAAAAATTAGAAGGTTAGCACCGACCCTGCCTGTCAGAGGCAATCAATGATATACGTGTATTCAGATCTTTAAACTTTTAAAATGCATTACTCTTAGATTTTCTGCTTCTTAGCATGGGTTGTACCCATCCTTCTTAACATACGTTGTACCCATTCTTCTACGCATGGGTTGTACCCATCCTTCTTCGCATGGGTTGTACCCATCCTTCTTCGCATGGGTTGTACCCATCCTTCTTAACATGGGTTGTACCCATCCTTCTTAACGTACGTTGTATCCATCCTTCTTAAAATACGTTGTATCCATCCTTCTTAACATGAGTTGTATCCATCCTTCTTAACATGAGTTGTATCCATCCTTCTTAACATGAGTTGTATCCATCCTTCTTAACATGAGTTGTATCCATCCTTCTTAACATGAGTTGTATCCATCCTTCTTTGACAGGGTTGCATCCATCCTTCTTAACATGGGTTGTATCCATCCTTCTTAACATGGGTTGTATCCATCCTTCTTAACATGAGTTGTATCCATCCTTCTTTGACAGGGTTGCATCCATCCTTCTTAACATGGGTTGTATCCATCCTTCTTAACATGGGTTGTATCCATCCTTCTTAACATGGGTTGTATCCATCCTTCTTAACATGAGTTGTATCCATCCTTCTTAACATGAGTTGTATCCATCCTTCTTAACATGAGTTGTATCCATCCTTCTTAACATGAGTTGTATCCATCCTTCTTTGACAGGGTTGTATCCATCCTTCTTAACATGGGTTGCATCCATCCTTCTTAACATGGGTTGTATCCATCCTTCTTAACATGGGTTGTATCCATCCTTCTTAACATGGGTTGTATCCATCCTTCTTAACATGGGTTGTATCCATCCTTCTTAACATGAGTTGTATCCATCCTTCTTTGACAGGGTTGTATCCATCCTTCTTAACATGGGTTGCATCCATCCTTCTTAACATGGGTTGTATCCATCCTTCTTAACGTACGTTGTATCCATCCTTCTTAACGTACGTTGTATCCATCCTTCTTAACATGGGTTGTATCCATCCTTCTTAACATGGGTTGTACCCATCCTTCTTAACGTACGTTGTATCCATCCTTCTTAAAATACGTTGTATCCATCCTTCTTAACATGAGTTGTATCCATCCTTCTTAACATGAGTTGTATCCATCCTTCTTAACATGAGTTGTATCCATCCTTCTTAACATGAGTTGTATCCATCCTTCTTAACATGGGTTGCATCCATCCTTCTTTGCATGGGTTGTATCCATCCTTCTTAACATGGGCTGTACCCATCCTTCTTAACCTGGGTTGCCCCCCTAACAGGCAGGGTCGGGAATCGGCTTCTGATTGATCCACTTACATAAGAACAAAAGTAAGATCACAGGTAGGAATGCATAGAATCACCCAAAACCCAGCAAAACGCAGAGCCGTTGAAGAGTCAACCGACCTCGGTAGACGTCAAATTGTTTTTGTAAAGTGTTTTACGGCGCTCGCAACTGCATCGGTCATATGAGCGCGCGGGATAGACGTCAAAGCGGAAGTCAATTTCGATACCTTTAGTAATTGCTCAGCACTCTCAAAAATGGCGAGATGGTATAGATTTAACGCCACTACCAACACTGTTTAAGTTATTTACGAGGTGGGACCTCCGAGTTTAGCTGGATTGCCCCTATCACGTAGGGTCGTGACTTGGCTTCTGAATGATCCCCCTACGTAAGAACAAAACTAAGATCACAGGTAGGAATGCAAACTATACAGGCCAACGCGTAAAACACACGAGACAATACCTGCATACAGAACAACTCCATAAATAGCCAAGGGCACGCATCTCGCTGACACCCGCTGCTATATTTGGACACGTCACACAAAAGTACAGGCCACAACACTGCCCACATACTGACCTCTGAACGGGGACTATGGGGGAGCGTAATGGATATAGTATAGTATATACTTATACATGATATTATATATACACAGAGAGAGAGAGAGAGAGAGAGAGAGAGAGAGAGAGAGAGAGAGAGAGAGAGAGAGAGAGAGAGAGAGAGAGAGAGAATGGGGGAGAGCATGCTGTTGGACGTGGATATGCATTATATAAATACAATCCTCTTATCATTATTATTATTATCATTATCATTATCATTATTATTATTATTACTACCACTACTATTATTACTATTATTATTATTGTTGTTGCTGTTGTTGTTTTTTTTCAACGGTTTTGGAGGTACATGATCAGACCCCAATGTGCCAAGTGCCGTGTAGGCTCTTAGCCGTCACAGTCAATAGACAGGAGTTCGATTTTTGAGAGGACAATTTTGTTTTTATCACACATCTCTGTGTGCATTCTAGGATTATGTATCCCTTTCAGCCCCGGGATAACATTGACTCATATGGAGAAAACAGACCGCCTCCCAGATACCTAAATTCTATCAGTTAGGACATAGAACATATGTTTTTGAAAAGGCATGCCACTGATGGGGATGTGATGACGATGATGATGATGATGATTGATGATAATGATGATGATGATGATGATGATGATGATGATGATGATGATGATGATGATGATGATGATGGTGATGATGATGATGATGATGATGATGATGATGATATAGCACAGCAAATGCGATGACGAAGATAATACTACAGAATATCGGTTTGATGATAAAGAATTTGAAAACCATTTCCCTTTTTTTTCTTTCACAGGACACCTTGCTACACAGTCAATAAGCCCCCACCCAAGACAGATTCAGATGATACCGTGGCGACCTGACAAAACTTCAATACTGGCTCTCCAGTGGCGTACGCTTCAAAAGGAAGGAATTATACGGATTTTACTCTCCCTTGTCGCTGCCATAATGGATGGAGGTGGAACCGAAAACGATCCAGGAACCGGACTGCACGGTTCAACCGATTGTCATAGAACCGGAGTCTAAAATTGATTGCTGCTTCGAAATAATCAGAATGCGATTGACAAAAACTCGGAACGGGAAATTACGATGGCTATGAAGGAGGACTGAAGATTCAACTTAAATTGAATTATAATGGAATCTTATTTGTGTAGTTTTTTAAATGTCTTTTAAACTGTGTTAACCGAGTCTGTGTTTAGATCTAACCACCAGGCTCTTTGCCGTCATATTCAGAGTCACGGGTTCGATTCTCGTGACAGGATGTTTTTAACTGAGTATCTCCATCGGTTTGCCTCGATCTTGTATTTCTCTCAGCCTGCGTTGGTCATGGCAGGTAGAAGGTTTGGAGCAACCCGGCTACTAAATTATCTAAATTGTGTAGAAAAGGGTGTAAAATATTTACAATAAGGATAATATATACAATATTATAAGTCTGTGTCCCTCGTTGCCGTCGTGTGCAGAAATGGCTACAACCAATACATCTTCGACTTCACCCCCACCAGGCACTACCACAACGCCTGAGGAGACTGGTGCCACAACCACAACAGAAATACCAGACACTATAAACAGCATCACATCACACCCAGACGCGGAAACCCCGCCCCTGGGCGGCGCCTCATCGACGAGGGACGTCCCATCAGGCTCGACGTCATCACGGTATCCACCAATAGAATTCGACTTCCTGGATACGATTCAACCGTCAGATTTGTACCTACCCGATGGAGACGTTGATTCATTTTTTACCACGACCATCTCGCCCCTCAGTAACGGGACAGTGTCTCTATGTTTGAACGTAGGGAAGAGTAATGTGACTGCGAACATCAGCGTCGCTCATAATTTGTGCGCGGGTGGCAATGAGGAAGTGACGCAAGAGTTCAGCGACAGTGACTTATGGGCGGAAAACGAACACTTCGCGGAAACGGTTATTCCAGCTATGGTCTTCGTCGGGTTGTTAATGGTCATAGGCATTTTGGGGAACCTTCTCGTCGTTTACGTGTACGGTTTTCGGTTCAAATCCGCTACGCAGCACTTTCTCATCGTGTGCCTGGCGTGTTTTGATCTCCTAATGGGCGCCCTCGCGATGCCGACGGAGATTGCAGACATGAGGTACCACCACACTTTCGACTCTGCCTTCGCCTGTAAACTGCTCCGCTTCATCACCATGTTCTCGTCCATATCCTCCAGCTTCACTCTGGTTACTATCGCGGTTGACCGACACAAGCGAGTGACCAGACCGCTGACCAAGCAGATGGCCATGCGGAAAGCCAAAGTTTGGGAAGTCATCAACGTTCTAGCTGCTCTCTTCTTCTCCTGGCCGACCTTGGTCCTGACTGGGCTCCGTACGTCCGAGACTCGCGTCCCCGATCTGCTGGGCACGGACTGTTCCTTCAGTGACGAGTATCGCTTCACCAAGTTCCCTCTCGTCTACAACGTCGTCTTAGGCACCGGCTTCCTTACCCTTATCACTATCATCGGCGTGTTGTACTTCCGGATCTGGAAGACAGTCAAAGGTCACCGCGTGCACATGTCTAAGATCCCTCGCAGCTCGCAGTCGGGGACTTCAGCCTACGAGATCAGGAAGGAAGAAATCGATGTGGGAGCTTCGGCGAGGGAGGGGAATCTGAGTCGTCCAGAAGGTAATCCTTACTGCGTGTTGAGCAGGAACAGTGGCGGAATGATGGATCAAGACCTCAGCCCTCAGCTGAGCATTCAGACCGCAGACTCTCCACTCAGTCCGCGGACCGCTCGGGCAATCTGTGACGTCACTGAAGTTGTTGGAGAGAAGAATGGAGAGAGTGATAACGACTCAAGACTTCTTCAGTTGGTCTTAACAAATGGAAAAGACAGAAACGCGACTGCTTTATTCACGAAACCGAAACGTTCTACTAAAAAAAGAGGCACTGCTAGTATGAAAGAACGGAACTTTAAACTTGGTGACGTCATAACTTGCTCGAACTGTCACCAGACGTTAGATAAATGCGGCGTCTTTTGCGCTCCTCAACTCAAGAAGAAGAAAGCTACTTCACTCAAACTCCCGCCAAAAAGTTACCAAGCTCAAGATTCTAATCTTCTCCCCCACAAACAGCATCCTGCCACCCCTGCTCCTGTAATGGCTTCACCCGCCGTGACGTCATCTCCGAGTCTGTCTTACAAGAGCCTCAAGGGTAGTCCAATGCTACGTGCAAGGGCTCTCAACCCACAAAATAGTCTTAGTCTCAGCATTAAAAGTGAGGATCTGCGGCCAATGTCTTCTTTGTTAGACTCCGTGTCTAAATCTCTGGCAGATTCCAGCAAGATGTCTGCTTTGACGACCATGTTGCCGACTTTGGACGGACATTGTGAAGAAATGGCTAGTGGTCCGAACGTAAGTACAGCTGTGCCATGCTTGGGAACTGTATCTTCGACAGGTGGGAGAGAAATTGTTTCTGACAGGCATGGACTTACGTTGGACGGTAATAGAAATGTTTCTAGCCTTTCAACCGATGTGAGTTTGGAGGAACCAATCGAAGAAGAGCAGAGTGGGGATGAAACCTCTTCAGACTTCGTTCGCTTTCAGCACAGCCCGAATGACAGTATCGGAAATGGACCTTGTCAGTGTGTGGGCCCAAAACGAGAAGCAGCAACAGCAGCAGTTTTCTGTCAAAGACATCATTTAGAAGTTATCGTTGATGACAATGAAACATCCGATACAAATAACGAGGAGATAGATGATATCTCACAACTGTCACCCATTCAACGTGACCGTTATGAAATCAGAAATACGTCTGGAGGGAATACGGATGAAAGCTTTAAGGACAACATTACTCAGAGAAAATGTTTGTGTTCGGCCAAAGACGATATTGACATTTGTACTTGCTCTCAGCCTCACAACAATGCCGTCCACCTGTTACAGGCAGAGTCAGAGAGAAACGCTGCGGGTTCAAACCGGTTCTCAGTCACTGGATCTTTGCCGGAAGTTTCCCCAGCAAACGGCATTTCAGCGGCACAAAGTTTCAGTTCGTTTCAGCAAAAAAGTTTGCCTATGGCCATACCAGAGCGGTTCCGAGAGGAGTTTAAAGAGCAAGTATTTGCGTCACCCTCTGATCTTTACAAAAACAACGGACAGGAAAACAATTCTTGCAACGATCTTTCAGATCCAATCGGTTCCCAAAGAATAGAATTCACAAGAACCGGATTCACTCGAACCGGATTCGACTCACCAATAGCTCAAAGTCCAAACCCCAATCGACGCAGTACATCGCCGTCTGTGCTCGAGAACTGCCGGATCAAATCCGGTTCCATGGCCTCTTTAGATAACTTGACAATGTCGCGGGGAAAGAACAAAAGCGAATCCCGACGAATCGACAAAACCACGGTCGTGGCGTTCGCGGTGAGCTCTGTGTTTGTCCTCAGTTTCGTCCCCTATCTCACGCTGATGTTTGTGCGAGCCTTCATCAAAGACTTCGACTACAATCTGGACGGGGCAGCCCTGTGGCTCTACAACATCTTTGTCCGGTTCTACTTTCTAAACTCGGCGCTCAATCCGATTCTTTACGGTCTTCTCAACGAAAGATTTCGCCAAGAATGTCGACGCTTGCTGAGATGTTGCGGGAACAACAAGAAAACTGACGACTGTGTCTAGGCCAAAGAGGTTATAGTTATTGAGGTTTGGTCTAGGTAACTCGGACACTGAGCACGCGAAAACGCACATGGCAATGGCAGCTTTTTTGTGGTTTGACATCGGAATTTCATTTTAAATTCATTTTAACTATTAGTAAAAGTTTTACGGCACTTGCAACATTATAAGGCCACATAAATGCTGAAGATTAGAGGTGTTACAAGAGAGTAACAAACATACCAAAAGAAGGAGGGGAGATAGAGACGATAGATTTTTTACAGGCAAGAAGGAGCAAACCGCACCAGAGCACCCACCAACCACCCACTCGGAATTTCAATTATCGATCCGCAGTAAACGATATAATATTTCCAAGAAAGCAAGAACAGACAGATCAGATGAAGAAATTCAGTCATACCAACTTCAGTCAGGTTACTGAATACACAGTGCTACAAATGAAACATACACAAACGCGCAGAGAGAGAGAGAGAGAGAGAGAGAGAGAGAGAGAGAGAGAGAGAGAGAGAGAGAGTGATTGAGTGAGAGAGAGAAATAGATATAGATCAGAGATAGAGAGCAAAAGAATGTTGAACGTAGCGGGATTGTTTTAGCACGTTAACCACGTTTTTACTATACAAAATAAATAGTCCGTCCCATAATTCGTGAGCACATTTGAAGCTTGATATCTCAGCAACAACTTGTTCGATTTTAACCTTTATCGTCAGTGATAGTTATGTGCACCCACGACATTATGAAAATTCAAATTAGGTAGCTAATTAGTGACTGGTTAATTAATTGTGAAGTGTGCTGACAAAATGAGTTACTTCTCGGATTCAGGCCTTATGGAAATAGAAACATCATGCAAAGTTTTACAATTTATAAGTATGTAATAATAAGAGGCATGTTATACATAAAAAGCATCAATAGAATATCTACTAAGTTGACCTCGGTGTTGATTTTTTTTGCCAATATCTCTACTTGTGGATTGCGAGAAGTAACTCATTTTGTCAGCACGCCTCACAATTACTCTTATCATTAGTACATCACATTTAATGCTTACAGTATCTATGATCCAAACAGGAAACGATGTGCGCATTCAGAGGCGTACAAAAAATAGAACAAAATAGGGCAAGAAGTTAATAATCTCAGAATTGGCCTACCTTTATTCTGTCTCCGAGTCAGGCGAGTCTTCGCCTGGGTTGATGACTACTCTTGGTTGTATGAACTGAAGTCCTTTCTTCTCCCAATACTCGTCCTCCATACATTTTACACTCGTTTCACACTGCAGCCAACAAACTTTGTTCTCTCGAGACATCGCATTTTCTGTTAGCTGTTTCGAGATCTTTCAATTTAAAGGTTGTATTGAGATGCAACCGTGCCTTTGGTCTTCGCCCAGACGAGTTCCATTGGATTTAAATGGGAGTGGTAGAGTGGCATCCGTAGGCAAGTGTGTCCGTGCTGTTCCACAATTGTATCACCTTGAAATCTTTTGGCTTTTCTGCTTTCTTTAACGAGCAAAAGGAGCTCAGGTTTGAGCTGAGGCGGTGGAAATGGTATACTCTCTTTGTTGAGCCAATCTTTTATCTCCTCTTTCCTGCTTGCACTTGTAGGGATTTTGTCCTCTTCTTCCACTACGTTGTGATATAACGCATCACTAAGCAAGATGGTTTGTCCAGTGCAGGTAGTATTTTTCAATAATCCAATTTTGAAATAGTATGTTGCCATTGACTTCATTATGATAATCCCTGTTGTCACTTGAATTTGACTTGAACATTAGTTCTGCGTTTTCAAATAAACTCTTTTCACTGAATCTACAATACGCAATCCTCAGTCTCTCTCCTTTTCCAGCTGGAATTTGTCTTTTAATGTGTCCATCCTTTGACTGCCATTCTTTTTTAAACACACGGTGAGCGTTTATAAAATAAGAAAACCTCATATCCTTTCTCTCGGACCTCTTTCAACTCTCTCAAGTACTTACTTCTTAAAACAGCAGTAATATGATTTCTTTCGCACAGTAATTTTTTTCCTCCATTTGACTTCCTGAACGTAAACCCAACTCGTCTAAAAGACTGATTTCCAAAGGCATGTCATCGATATCTTTATATCATGATTATCGGACAACCGTCTTTTCAACTTTTTGAGAGTAACTATTAATTCATTTCTTTCCAAAATCTGGACAATTAATTGCTTGTCGGACGACCTCCGCAGGGAAACTATCAGTCTTCAAAGGCCGCCTTCTTTTAGCTAGGAAAGTCTCGTCACCCATTTCGTGCTGCTTTATCCATCTTGACCATGTGCTTCTGTTCAAACCTAAGGCATGTCCAGTTTTTTCTTTCGGATTCCCTATATCACGGTGCAAAGCTCCTTTCTTTGTCTCTCTATTAAAATGGGAGTAAAGCTGAAGCGCAACCTTTTGAAGAGTGGTGAAAGTGAAAGTGTGTTTGGATGACTTCTTGTCCCTCATGGTGCAAACAAATCGTTGACACAAAGCGAATTTAAGCACAAAATTTACAACGGAACATCCAGTTATCAAAGTTATTTTGTGAAACGGTTAAAAATTCCCAAGCTTGACTAGGCTATGCCTCTGACTTTTTTGAGTTGCTGTGATGAAAGAAAGGCAGTCATAGAAAAGCCTGATTAATTTAGAGTCTCGCTGCACGTGCGCTAATGTATTTCAGTAAACAATCCCGTGATTTGAGCAGTGAGCAGCCGTGGTTAACGGTGAGTTGTCACTTCGCTCCACGTGCTGTGACGTCCGGTCGGCGGATTGCTCAGACCAAAGGGCTATGCATCTTGATAGATTAAAAACATATCGAAAGCTGTCGAATGTAAACAACTGAATAATATTGTACTAATTTTCCCACTGTTTAATCAGACGAAAGAGCTTGTCCACGGTCTTTGCGACTTTGTGTGAAGTCTTTTAATGTCGGGATTGGTGTACTGTCAATAGTCAAAATGTTCAACGTTGGTTTCTATGAAGTGTTCAAACATTAAAGAACAAATTATAGTGTTTTGTGTATGCGTGAGTGCGGAACGGACAGTAAAGCCAAGAATTCCTAAATCACGTATCATATGATACGCTTTTAGAGCTTGATCGTTTCCGGTGTGTTGATCATCCATACATACCTACATCAAACAGTTTTTTGTTCCTCCTGAAAAATTCGCTAAAAACCTTGATAGGTGGAACTGGCTCTCATAGGACGACATAATATTACACTGTTTCTGCGATGCTTCATTTAGGACCTTAGCAGCAGAAGACGTGACATCGATTTGCGTGCAAGGAAGTTTATTTTACTTTGGTGAAGTATTACCAAAATTTGTTTAGTGGGTACCCCTTTCTGTCTGTGTTGACCCTTACTGACAGGATCGAAGCAACCCGCCTCCTAAATTATCAATAAAACACTTTACGATGATTAATTGGTCGCTTTTAAGCACAAGGGGAGCTATCCCGAAAAATGCTGTTTAGAGAAAATCGAAGGTAAAGTTTTTGCCCCTTGTTCAGTTTCTTTAAAAGACAAGGTGAGTTTTCACTATAACCAAACAAATATACACTCCAATGAAACCAAACTTCTGCTAAAGGTTGGGCAATTCCCACTTTTGGTGTAGGTCAAGGTTTCTGGAAACCCCTGAAATCTGGGTTAGCCGCTTGCCCTTAAAGTTAAAAGCGACCAAATTATCAATAAAAAACATTACAATGATTAATTACAACGTAATAAATAGCCGACCTCCATTAAAAAGGTGTATTGATTATTCACCACTAAAATAGAAAAAAGTGCTGCAGAGGAGAATTTGACTTCAGAACGTTAAAGACTTTGTAATCTAAAACATTAGAGATTTTGTGATGCTAATTATAATATTATATGTGCGCCTGTGATGCTAAATTGTATACTTCATGATGCTAAATTATAAATTAAAGACTAAGGAAAACTTTATTCCAGGACACGTAGTGATGCTAAATATTTAAGACTTTGTGTAACTTTCAGAGTTTTTGAAAAGCTAAATTACCAGAGATTTTGTATTCTAATATATTAAAGATGTTGTGATGCCAATGTTAGAGAGTTTGTGACCCTGAATGTTAGAGACGTTGTGATTTTTTATATTAGAGACTCTACGAAGCTTCGTATTTCAGATTTTGTTACTTTATTTAAATATGTGTTTGTGTGTGTGTGTGTGTGTGTGTGTGTGTGTGTGTGTGTGTGTGTGTGTGTGTGTGTGTGTGAGTGTATTCCTTTGTGTATAATATGTTTGTGTATACGAGTATGTTCATATTCATGAGAACGGTTGTTTTTGTAAAAGAATTATATACTAGTAGTGTGTATGTGTGTTTTTATTTGTATACGTCTATGTATGCACGCAGGTGCGTGTGCGTTATGTATGTGTGTGTGTGTGTGTGTGTGTGTGTGTGTGTGTGTGTGTGTGTGTGTGTGTGTGTGTGTGTGTGTGTGTGTGTGTGTGTGTGTGTGTCAGATGTGGAATTGGAGCGACTCTGTTTTAGCTGTTATCACATTTTGACTGAATAATTAACATGTAAAAATGACAAAGCATGCAATCAAATGCTACACGTCTTTGAGTTTTGTTTGTTTCCAAAGTCTAGGGTCTGTTACGACACAGCTGAGGTTTCTTTCATGTTTTTTCCAAGTTCAGAAAGTGGTATGGGTGGTTAAAAAGACGCAGACGACAGAGTGCAAGAGAGAAGAAAAGAAGGTGAAAGGAGACAATTTTAGAGAAGAAAATGTTTCCGTCGCTACCCGGATTCGAACCCGGGACCTTTGAATGAGAGGTGAACACCTTAACCTCTAGGCCACGAGAGCCCACAGCTGATGAGTAATTATTAGAATGAAGTGTCAAAAGAAATATACTGATGGCACCTTTTCCATTTCCGACTTTGCAGTCTTCAAAAACAGTCTAAATGTTGTTGAAAGGGGGCATCTAACAATTACAATTACCTAACTTTGTTTGTGTCAATAAGACCATAATTTCACGATGTCTATCTAATTCACAAACAATCGAAACAATAAAGGGAAAGAATTCCTTCAGTAACGAAACAGACTGTCAGTCTTTTATGAGTAGCGTCCCTTCTAGGTGATCGGAAAAGGGGGGAGGGGGGTTGTTCCTTCACCGTCAGGCCTTTTTGCATATCCTGACTCAGAGGTACGGAAATGGTTCTT